AGCGTGCGAGTGCGGCCGGCGCTGCCCCGGCCGGGCCGCGGCCCCCTGCCCCGCGGCGATTACCGCTCTCGCTCCGGCACCGACGTCTGGCGCCGCGGGAAGGAGGGCGGTAGAGGGTGGGAGGACTAGCGTGTGGCCACCGAGTGGTGCTCGGAACTTCCTCAGCGAGGCCGGAGGCGTCGCCACTTGAAGGCGTTATTTCTGGTCTTCTCGAGTCGCGCTTTACCCCTGCCTCCCTGCAGCAAACTACCGGAGTCAACTTCTTTGAGGGAAGAAAAAAAAAAAACACCCCCGGCGTGAGATGCCATCCTGGTGATGCTCAGTGCTTTCCAGCGGCCTGGGTTTTACTCTGGAAGTAGCTCATTCTAGCTGTGGCTCACGGTGTGCCCTTTTCCAGTCAAAGGATACCCCGTATTTCAGCTGGCCCACAAATCTCTTGACCCCTCCTGAGAGGAGACCACCAGCAACATTCTTATATGTAAAGTCCATAGGTTATACAAAGCTGTCATCTTCTAGCCTACAGTATCCTTTCCCTCCACCTGCTGGTGGTGGCAGTGGGGGATGGGGTGGGCTGTGCGATGGCACCATCACATTTTATTATTTAAAAGGGGAGGGAAAAAAAAGCTTCATTGTCTTAGATACAGCTGCTCCTGATCTCAGACTACATAAGGTGTAAACACACAGCACACCACACTGAAATTTTTGATAGACTTTTTCCCCTTCTGTTTTTAACAGTTTGGGCAAATAGGGCTTCTCTTCTTTAAGCTATTTCCATTATGCATCTGAATCAAGGGTTTAGCTTTTAAGAGAAAGTGTTGAATTTTTTTTTTGTGTGTGTGTGTGTTGTCTCCTGGACATTTTTATGCTGAACTCTTAAAATTTCCATAGCCTGTTTCTGAACTTTTGCTTGAAGAAGTAGTAACTTGGGGTGGGAGGAGCTTTTCATAAAGCATTTTAATCTCTTTAAGTTTGTGCTGTTCTAGTACGTTTCTTAGTTTGAGGAAGTACTGAATGTCCGAGGGTGTGGCTTTTCTGTGATTAAGATTAACATGAGATCTTTCTGATCCCTAAATTTGGCTCTTTATTGAGATAATTCACATGCCATAAAAATCAGCTTTTTAAATGTACAGTTTGACTTTAAGTAAATTTGCCTACCTTGTCCAACAATGTTATGAAAATTTTTTTTTTACTAATATGAATATTTAGAATGAGGGATCATAAATTACAGGACTTAAAAAATGATAAATTCCAGTTACAAAATATAGAGAGATAGCAAGTACGTGTTTGACAGATCCCTATAATCGTTTTTGTTCCCCTCTACATTTCTGGATGCATTTTTCTAACAGCTTCATTGAGATGTAATCCACATACCTTACAGTTCACCCATTTAAAGTGGCTTTTAGTGTATTCACATAGTTGTGCAACCATCACCACAATTAATCTTAAAACATTGTCACTAACCCAAAAAGCAACCAGTAGTTATTAGAAGTGACTTTCCATAGCCCAGCTTCCCTAGCCTCAGGCAACCACATTAGCCCTCCCAAGATTTGCCTATTCTGGACATCCCATGAAGTGGAATTATAAAATTTCTGATCTTTTCTGACTGGTTTCTTTCAAGCAGACTAATAGTACTTTTCAAGGTTCATCCATGTATCAAGGATGTATCAGTGTTTCAGTTCTTGTGGCTGAATGATATTTCTTCACCCTATGGAGGTAACACATTTTGTTTATTCAC